TTATAATAAATGGTGCATTTTCGTTGATAAAGCATTTCACGATCCCACTGTCTCCGGAATCTAAGTCCTCAACATTTATCATTGTTACTACTGTGTTGAGATTAGCATCCTCTGATATCACAGTCGATTTGGACATTATGTTGATTTCAGGTTTATTGTCGTTTACATCCAGAACATCAACAATCAGTTTACAAGAATCAGTAAGTCCCCCCTCATCACTTGCTCCTATATTTATTTGGAAGCGTTTTGTTTTTTCAAAATCAATGGTTTCAACCAATGAAACTTGCCCGTTTTCTGTGTTTACTTCAAACAATTTCTTTACGTTACCTAACGTATTTGTGATTGAATATGTTATTTTACTGTTCGAACCTTGATCTGCGTCTGACGCTGTAACAGTAGCAACAACTGTTCCTTTAGGTGAATTCTCAGTGACTGTAGCTTTGTATGTTTGCTGTGTAAAAACCGGCGCATTATCATTAACGTCTAAAACTATAATGAGAATCTGCATTGTTCCTGACATCTGTGGCTCTCCTCCATCTATAGCTGTTAACACGAGAGAGATCTGCTCTTTTTTCTCTCTGTCTAAAGGTTTCTGCAGTACCATCTCAACGTTTTTGTTTCCATCAGCATTATTATGCATTTTAAGAACGAAATTGTCAGTTGGTTTTAGTTCGTACCTTTGAAGATCATTGGTGCCAACATCAACATCCACAGCCCTTTTCAGAACAAATTTTGCCCCAGTTACCGCAGACTCACTAATTTTAAACTCCATCTCTGTTTTCTCAAAGGTTGGTGCATTGTCATTGATATCTGTGATCTGCACTGTAACCGTATAAAATTCCATCGGATTCTCCAAAATGATCTGAAAATGTAGAGCACACGGTGTCGTCCGTCTGCACAGCGCCTCTCTGTCGATCCTTTCTTTAACGAGGAGGACTCCTCTTTCTCTGTTCAGCTCGACGTACTGGTCGCTGTCTCGGGGATAAATTCGAGCTTTACCTGATATTAAACGTTTGATTTGTAAACCCAAATCCTGTGCTATATTACCGACTAACGATCCTTTAGTCATTTCCTCCGGTATTGTATAGCTGACTTGTCCAGTTACCGAGCCAAAGGAAAGGAGAGCAAAACACAACAGCGCAGGCCCTTTCATTGTTCTACCCTAGTATTCTATCAGCGAGGCTCCACAATGCGAAAATATATTCCATTAAGTGAAATCAATTCCTGGTAGACACAACAATATTTTAGCGTTATATTCCTCCCAGAACAACGGAAAATTAAAAAAAAATAAATGTCGTCTTTGTCATCAGATATTCTGCGCATCTAGAATATCCGCTCTTTCTCGTCGTACCCCGTGCTCGTTATGTCGTGGTTTATGTGAGATACGCCGCTGTTGCAACCCTACTGTCAGCCATCAACTCTCTGGTGAACAGCGGCCCTAAGAGTTCAAAAAGCAAAACTGCAGAACACTACCGTCAGGCAATCTGTAATAGAAGACTTGCAATCACAGATGTTTATCACGGGAAACGTAAATTAAAT